TGTGTGTGGTACGCGGGCCTCTCACTGTTGTGGCCTCTCCCGTTGCGGAGCACAGGCTCCGGACGCACAGGCTCAGCGGCCATGGCTCACAGGCCCAGCCACTCTGCGGCATGTGGGATCTTCCTGGACCGGGGCACGAACCCGTGTCCCCTGCATCGGCAGGTGGACTCTCAACCCCTGCGCCACTAGGGAAGCCCATTATCACTTGATTTTAATATTTGCTCTAATATAGTCTAGGCTTATATTTGTGTATATATTTGTTCCCTTTTTTTTTTTTTTGCGGTACGCGGGCCTTTCACTGCTGTGGCCTCTCCCGTTGCGGAGCATGGGCTCCGGACGCGCAGGCTCAGCGGCCATGGCTCACGGGCCCAGCCGCTCCGCGGCATGTGGGATCTTCCCAGACCGGGGCACGAACCCGTGTCCCCTGCATCGGCAGGTGGACTCTCAACCACTGCGCCACCAGGGAAGCCCCCTTTTTGTTTTTCACCAGTGGTATGAAGCTTCCATATTAATACCTTATTTAGGTGACTGTTGGCAATAGATTGTCAGTTTTTCAAATAACACCTTTATTGAGATATAATTCACACACCTTACAATTCACCCATTTAGAATGGGCAGTTCATTGGTTTGGGTGTATTCACAGACTTGTGCAACCATTACCACAATCAGTTTTAGAATATTTTCATCATCCCCTTCCCAAAGAAACCCCTCTATCCATTAGCGGTCATTCCCCATTTCCCCCCAGTACTAGGCAACCACCAGTCCACTTTGTTTCTAGATTTGTCCATTCTGGATATTTCATAGAAATGGAATCATACAATGTTTGGTCTTTTGTGACTGACTTCTTTCACTTAACGATAATGTTTTCCACATTGTTAATTTTAAGTGATTCCTTAATTATATTAAAACAAGAAACAAAGTTGAGGGTTCTTGGTGTCTTTAGCCATTTGGAGATTTAACAATGAATTCTTAAGTTTTAAATTTTCTGTCAAACATTGATAGGGGTTTCCTCCTTTAAGTAGTTTGTAGCGTTAACTCTGATAACTGTAGTAAGAGGATGTGCTTCTATTACATAGCCTCCTGACCGATACCTGAATGTGGTAGGGACACAGTTGTTTATGGCAATGAGATATGCTGGAGAATATAGTACCTGAGTAGTGCTCCATTAACCTCATACTTATTTTTGTAAACAGTGGTGAAATATACATATAGAAAAGGGCACAGAACATGCATATAAAATGATGAATAAATACAAAGCAAAATAATCATCTCAGTCAAGAAATAGAGCACCTCAATCTTTGCCTGTGTCCTCTCCTTCCTGTGGAAACCACCGTTCTGACATGTGGACATCACTTGCCACTGTTCTGACATGTGGACATCACTTGCTTTTCTCTATTATTTTACCACTTTGTACATCCTGAACAATATGGTTTAGTTTTACTTGTTCTTAAACTTTGTATGAACATAATATGCTGTATGTATTCTTTTCTGCTTTGTTTCTTTCAACTTGTAAGATTTATCTACATGAATTTGTAGTTCATTTTTTTGCTTCAGAGCAGTGCTAAAGAAATATAGTGCGAGCCATATATGTAGTTTCATGTTTTTTTGTAACCATATTAAAAATAAAAGAAATTAATTTTAATATATTTTGCTTAATATATCCAAAATGTTATCATTTCAACATGTGATTGATATAAACATTGGTTTACGAGATAGTTTATTTTCTTTTTTTAGCAGTCTTTATTTTTTAGAGCAGTTGTAGTTTCACAGCACAATTGAGAGGCACATACAGAGATTTCCTGTAGGTCCCCTGCCCACACATGCATAACTTCCCCATTATCAACATCCCCACCAGAGTGGTGCATTTGTTACAATTGAGGAACCTACATTGACACATCATTATCACTCAAAGTCGTAGTCAATACTAGGGTTCTCTCCTGCTGATGTTACATTCTTCCCTCATACTATGAGCACTTTGTGTTTTACACTTCACAGCACATCTCAGTTGGGACTGGCCGCATTTCAAGTGCTCCATCCATCTGTGCGGCTAGCGGCTGTCATAATAGCACAGCTCTGTAGCATTCCATTGTGAGGCTGTATCACAGTTACCCATGGCACTGTAGGCACTGCAGCTTGGGGTTATCATAAGCAATGTTTCTGTGAACATTGCACTGTTCATGGGAGTATAAGTGAATCCGTCACTTTGGAAAACAGTTTGACATTGTCTAGTAGAGCTGAAAATTAAAAAAAAAATTTGACCCAGAAATTCTACTCCTGGATATATACCCTAAAAAAAAGTGCCTGTGTGTACCAGGATGTATGTTGGAGACTGTGTCAGAGCTACGCTGTTCATGACAGCCCCAAATGGAAACAGCCCAAGTATCTAAGTAGAATGTTTTACCGAGTTTTCTTTCTTGACATTTTCATTGTTCTCTCCAGTTTCTCCATTTCCTTTTCATTCTCATTTACGGTACTCAGGTAATTCTAATTCCTATGGTTAGTGGCACCCAGTAGTAAGACGTCTCCTTTGGAGTGAGGAAGGCGGTCTATAGAAATAATGACAAAAACAAAAGGGCTTTAGTTGGTTTAGGAATTGAATTTTGCCTCGCCAGGGCCCACAGGTTTTAGATTCAGTGTGTCCACGCATCAGTGTGTCTGTTACAAGCTGTGTGTTTATCATTAAATTACTGGAGTTTGCAAGGTATTTTTATAAAGGAGATTCTGATCTGATTGATTAGCCACCATTCTGATGAGCACTCATTGGTAATTGATCTACTTTGTAGCTCTTGCTGTAACTGGCTGTAGTTCATGTAGTGCTTCATTTAATGTCTTACTGCCCTGACAGACCGTACTCTGTGATGGGCCTGGACTGAGGCTGTCCTGTTCACTGTTGTATCCCCAGCACCTAGCACAGAGCCCAGCAGGCGTCAGCCTGGCAACTCCAGTAAATAGCCACCAAATGATAAGTGAATGAATGTGCATTCTTAGGTAAGAGAGCGAGGCTGCCAGGATTTACACGTGACCCAGTGGAGGCCACTGTAAGTGTCAAGTCTGAAGGAATCGGTCTTCAGTCACAAAGGCAAAAGGGCTGATACCACTATTCTAAACTCCCTGGGTCCCGTCCCCAGGGATTATGATTTAACTGGTTTGGAGTGCTCCGTCTGGGGATTTTATACATCCCCAGGTGATTCTAGTATGCCGCAAAATTTGAGAACCTCTGTTCTGTAGAAACGAAGTAGTCATTCTCAATGTATGGTTTCCAGACTGCAGCATCAGCAGCATCTAGAAACTTGTTCTACCCCAGACCTGCAGACTCAACAATTCTGGGGATGAGGGCCAACAAACCCTCCAGGTGATTTTGATGCATCGTGCACAGATATGTTTACTGTTCAATGGGTGTCTGAGTCAGTTGGGGCTACTGTAATAGAGTACCATAGACTGGGTAGCTTATAAACAACAGAAACTTATTTCTCACAGTCTGGAGGCTGGAAGCCCAAGATATGGTGCCAACACGGTCCGGTTCTAGTGGAGGCCATCTTCCAGATTGCAGACTTCTTGTATCCTCACATTGTAGAAGGGGTGAGAGAGCTCTCTGGGGCCTCTTTCATAAGGGCACTGATCCCATTTATGAGGGCTACACCCTCATGACCTAATTACTTCCCAGAGACCCCACCTCCTAATACCATCACATTGGGGGTTAGGATTTAAAAAAAAAAAAAATTTATTTATTTTTGGCTGCGTTGGGTCTTCGTTGCTGCGTGTGGGCTTTCTCTAGTCGCGGCAAGCGGGGGCTACTCTTCGTTGTGGTGTGTGGGCTCTGGGCACGCGGGCTCAGTAGTTGTGGCTCGCGGGCTCTGGAGCGCAGGCTCAGTTGTGGTGCACGGGCTTAGCTGCTCCGCGGCATGTGGGATCTTCCCGAACCAGGGCTTGAACCTGTGTCCCCTGCATTGGCAGGTGGATTCTTAACCACTGTGCCACCGGGTAAGTCCGGGGGTCAGGATTTTGATATTTGAATTTGGTAGGGGTGGGGGGGGATACAGATTGCCCCATTAGAGTGGAACAGTACAAATCATAGTTTTATTTGCCAGTGGTTTGTTCAAATTATTCCAGGTACTTTATTTGTTCTTTCTGCTCACCACTAAAAATGGCTAACTTAAAATTTTCATGTGCTTTTCAGCAAACCCAATCATTATGCACCAAGCAATGACGTATATGGTGGAGAGATGCACATTCGACCAATGCTCTCTCAGCCAGCGTATTCTTTCTACCCGGAAGATGAAATTCTCCACTTCTACAAATGGACCTCTCCTCCAGGAGTGATTCGGATTCTGTCTATGCTTATTATCGTGATGTGCATTGCCATTTTTGCCTGTGTTGCCTCCACTCTTGCCTGGGACAGAGGCTATGGAACCTTAGTGGGAGGTGGCATTGGCTACCCTTATGGAGGAAGTGGCTTTGGTAGCTACGGAAGTGGATATGGCTATGGTTATGGCTACGGTTATGGCTATGGAGGAGGCTATACAGATCCAAGAGCGGCAAAGGGATTTCTACTGGCCATGGCTGCCTTTTGTTTCATGGCTGCATTGGTGATATTTGTTACCAGCGTTATAAGAGCTGAAATATCTAGAACAAGAAGATATTATTTGACTGTGATAATAGTGAGTGCTGTCCTGGCCGTTATGGTGTTTATTGCCACAATTGTCTATATAATGGGAGTCAACCCAACTGCCCAGGCATCTGGGTCTCTCTACAGTTCACAAATATATGCCCTCTGCAACCAGTTTTATACACCTGCAGCTGCTGGAGTCTATGTGGATCAATATTTATATCACTACTGTGTGGTGGATCCCCAGGAGGTAGGGATAGTTTTGTTTCTTTTCTCCCCTCTTTCCTTGGGTCAGAGGCTCTCCTCTCGGGATGCTTAATAGATTCGCTTTGGGAATGTTTAAAAAAATATTGATGCCACACCCCACTTCTATTTAAATCAGAAACTGGGAGAAGGGCTGGGTGTCATTATTAAGGTATGATTAACATACCATCCAATTCATCCATTTAAAATACAGTTCAGTATTTTTAGTATATTCACAGAGCTGTGCAACCATCACCACAGTTGATCTTAGAACATTTTCACTACCCCAGGAAAAACCCCCATCCTCATTAGCAGTCACTCCTCATTTCACTAACCGTCCCCAGATCGAGAAACCACTAATCCTGTTCTATGGTTTTGCCTATTCTGGATATCTCATATAAGCAGACTCATACGATATGTGTTTTTGTATGATTGGCTTCTTTCACTTAGCATTAATGTTTTAAGGTTCATCCGTGTTAGAACATGTACCAGTACTTCATTCCTTTTTATTGCTGAATACCGTTCCATTGTGGGGATACACCACATTTTATTTATTGGCCAGTTAACAGACATTTGGGCTATTTCCACCTTGGCTGTTACGAATTTTTCTGTGAAACTTATGTTTTAACGTCTCTTGAGTTCAGTATATACCTAGGGGTAGAATTGATGGGTCTTATGGAGATTCTGCGTTTAACCTTTTGAGGAACTGTCACATTGTTCTACAAAGAGGTTGCATTATTGTACATTTACCAGAAATGTATGAGGATTCCAGTTTCTCCACATCCCCCAGCATTGTTTTTGTCTGTTTGAGTCTAACCATGCTAATGGGTGTGAAGTGGTACCTCATTTTGGTTTTGATTTGCATTTCCTTGATGGCTAATGATATTTTCTTGTGCTTATTGGCTATTAGTATATCTTCTTTGGAGAAATGGTTATTCAGAATCTTTGCCCATTATTTAGTTGGGCTATTTGGATTTTTATTAAGTTGTAAGAAATTTTATATATTTGGATACAAGTCCCTTATAATACGATTTGCAAGTATTTTCTCTCCATTTTTGTCATTCTCTTTTCACTTTCTGGATGATGTTCTTTGCACAAAAGTTTTTTAATTTTGGTGAGGTCTCATTTAATTTTGCTTCATTGCTTTTGCACCCTAAAAGGGTGTTGTATCTAAAAACACTTTACCTAATTCGAGGTCACAAAGATTTACTCCTATATGTTTTCTTCTAAGAGTTTTATAATTTTAGCTCTTAACAGGTCCATGATCCATTTTGAGTTAATTTGGGGCATGTTATAAGGAAGGGGTCCAACATTTCTTACATGTGGATATCCAGTTGTCTTAGTATTATTTGTTGAAAGGACTATTTCTCCATTGAGTTATTTTCATGCCCTGGTCAAAAATGAATTGACCATAAATGTGACGATTTATTTCTAGACTCTCAATTTGTTTCCATTACCTGTGTTTCTGTCCTTAGGTCAGTACCACACTTCTTTTTTTTTTTAACATCTTTATTGGGGTATAATTGCTTTACAATGGTGTGTTAGTTTCTGCTTTATAACAAAGTGAATCAGTTATACACATGTTCCCATATCTCTTCCCTCTTTCGTCTCCCTCCCTCCCACTCTCCCTATCCCACCCCTCCAGGCGGTCACAAAGCACCAAGCTGATCTCCCTGTGCTATGGGGCTGCTTCCACTAGCTATCTACTTTACGTTTGGTAGTGTATATATGTCCATGCCTCTCTCTTGCTTTGTCACAGCTTACCTTTCCCCCTCCCCATATCCTCAAGTCCGTTCTCTAGTAGGTTTGTGTCTTTATTCCTGTCTTACCCCTAGGTTCTTCACGACATTTTTTTCTTCTTAAATTCCATATATATATGTTAGCATACGGTATTTGTTTTTCTCTTTCTGACTTACTTCACTCTGTATGACAGACTCTAGGTCTATCCACCTCATTACAAATAGCTCAATTTCTTTTCTTTTTATGGTTGAGTAGTATTCCATTGTATATATGTGCCACATCTTCTTTATCCATTCATCCGATGATGGACACTTAGGTTGTTTCCATCTCCGGGCTATTGTAAATAGAGCTGCAATGAACATTTTGGTACATGACTCTTTTTGAATTATGGTTTTCTCAGGGTATATGCCCAGTAGTGGGATTGCTGGGTCATATGGGAGTTCTGTTTAGTACCACACTTCTTGATTGCTGTAGCTTTGTCATCAATTTTGAAATTGGGAAATGGGGGGTCCTCCAACTTTGCTCTTCTTTTTCAAGATTCTTTTGGCTAGATTCTAGGTCTCTTGCATTTTCATATGAATGTTAGGATCAGCTTGTCAATTTCTGCAAAAAAGCCAGCTAGAATTTTGAAGGATTGTGTTGAATTTGTAGATCAATGCAATCCTTCAAAATCCTAGCTGGGAGAAGAATTGTCATCTTTACAATAAGTCTTCTGATGCATGAACATAGGGTGTCTTTTCATTTACTTAGGTCTTCTTTAATTTCTTATAAAAATGTTTTCAAATTTTCACTGTGTAAGTCAATATTTCAAAAAGCTGTCAGGTGATTCAAATGTGCAGGTGGGGTGGAGAACCTTGCTTTCAGTAACCAGGAGTCATCCTAATTAAGAAAATGTTTCTAACTTACTATTCTTTTTTCCTTTTTTTTTTCTCCTTACACTGACCCAGGAATTTTCATTCTTTTACCAGAATGAGTCACTTTTTGGGGGTTAGACCTTCTCCAATAACTACCATTATTTTGAAGACTGAAATGTAGGTTTCAGAGTTTTGTTGTTGACATTCAGAGTGTCTGTGGTAAATAGGGCTGAGGGCTGGTATTCCTTTCTTATCACACTGACATCCCTCTTAGTCCTCTGACTACCCGAAACCTGTATTCTTTGAAAAAGGATACCACTGTTACATAGACAGCTGCAAAGAGAGCTTCCTCTTACCCGTTAGCAGACATCCAGGCCAGAGCCCTGGTACCTGTCTCAACTCCCAAGTGCCTCCAGGCCAGTGTACCACTTAACACACCTGTCAGACACTAGGAGAACTGTCAGGGGTAGGGTTTCCTTGTCACAGGCTCTTCTAGCAAGCACACAAAAGACACATAAAACAGAGGAACCTAACAGACTAAATGGATCATTAGCCCATTCTCTCTAATTTATAGCTTGGTTAGAGTGTATCTGCATAATTTATGGTAAGACTGAAATTTACATTCAGTGTAAAAAGTTGTGCCAGACATGTGTTAGGAACAAGGCTATAAGCATGATTGGGTATTTAAAACTACTTTTGACAGCTCGGTGCCTTGTGACCACCTAGAGGGGTGGGATAGGGAGGGTGGGAGGGAGGGAGGGAGATGCAAGAGGGAATAGATATGGGGATATATGTATATGTGTAACTGATTCACTTTGTTATAAAGCAGAAGCTAACACACCATTGTAAAGCAATTATACTCGAATAAAGATGTTAAAAAAATACTAATAAAACTACTTCTGAGCATAACATTTTCCAGCCTTTTAGAAGTATACCAGTGATGAGTTAATTTATTGGGCATTCTCATCTGTTTATGGAAATATAGCCCCTTGGTGCTCAGGCTTTGGGACTAGTTTTCTATAATTCTAAAACAGGGATTCATGTTCATTCCAAGGATTGAATCAAGGTTGTGTGTGTGTGTGTGTGTGTGTGACTGAATCAAAGTTGGGGTGTGTGTGTGTGTGTATGTGAATCAAGGTTGGTTTGTGTGTGTGTGTTGCTAGCCTTAGCTGAACTAGCTTGGGCTAGGTTTTATATTTCTAAAATGGAACCATTTGTATCAGTTTTATAGCAGTTAAACAACAGATATTTAGGAGGGCCTTAGGCATTTGTAGAGTGTGGGTTGGGATAAAGTAAGCAATTAAAAGCTAAATATGTCAATATCTTTAATCTCTTTTTAGGCCATTGCCATTGTGCTGGCGTTTATGGTTATTGTGGCTTTTGCTTTAATAATTTTCTTTGCTGTGAAAACTCGAAGAAAGATGGACCGGTATGACAAGTCAAATATTTTGTGGGACAAGGAACGTATTTATGATGAGCAACCCCCCAATGTCGAAGAGTGGGTAAGTGTTTTAAGAAAGTCAGTAAATGTCCAGTTTTTTATTAGACCCCCAGATTTGTCTCTAAATTTAACCTATTCTGCTTTGTGAAACTTTATTTGTAGAATTATTGTCTTTGTATATTGCAAAAGTTGTGGCCTCACGTTTTACTTCGAATGTTAAGAAAGTGGGATGAGTGGACATGGTTTTACTACGGGTAAAAGCCAGATCTCTATTTCTAAGAAGTGGATCTAGGCACTGAGAGGAAATGGCTTTTAAAGAAACCACAAAGGAAATAACGTGGCTTTGGAAAACAAAAACATCTCCTCTCCCCTTCCTTTTTATTATCCTGCTGATTGTTTTGGAAGTAAATACCAGTGCTCAGGATGTTTACTGTCTTTGGTCAAGATTGGCAAGGGGGGCTTCCCTGGTGGCGCAGTGGTTGAGAGTCCGCCTGCCGATGCTGGGGACATGGGTTTGTGCCCCGGTCCGGGAAGATCCCACATGCCGCGGAGCGGCTGGGCCCGTGAGCCATGGCCGCTGAGCCTGCGCGTCCGGAGCCTGTGCTCCGCAACAGGAGAGGCCACAGCAGTGAGAGGCCCGCATACCGCAAAAAAAAAAAAAAAAGATTGGCAAGGGTGTTTTTGGGGTGGTAGCAGGTGGCAGGTCTTTAAACTTTTTACATGTGGAACAGCCTGGAGAATCACAGGGGCTAATTCTGTACTAATATTGACATATGAAATACTTTAGTGAAGGCAGAGAGAGATTAGGGCAATTTTTTTTTTTCATATACTGTTAATCCTACCAGTAGGTGGCTTCCTAAATGATGCGATTTGCTGAAGTGCAGAAAGTCCCTCTTACCAAAAATACCTCCCAAATGCACGTTCCTGATAGCTAACCTGTTTTTAGGGGTGTTCCAAACTTTGTTAGAAATACTCTGTTAGGATGTTGTTGAGAGCAGCCTCAGAATCTGCCTTCATAGGTTTCTTTGAGCAGATTGGTTTCTTGCCATGAAGGTTAGTTGAGAATCCTGGACCCTGGTTCCAGGGTAGGTTGGTCTTGGCCCGTGGGAGCAGAGCGGAGTGGGCTGAGGGTGGGTCCTGCTGGTCAGGTTGGGGGTGAAGATACTGATGATCATCTTGAAGGCTCCTAGCTCTAGCATCCTCCATCTGATGTTTGAAGACATTTGAATGTAGATGAAATTTTTCTAGTTAAGGTACTAAGACGAAGCAGTCAGGAGAAACAGAAGGTATGGTATGTATGTGCCCGTGTTCCCGACCTCTCCTTGAAGCCTGCTTGTTGTTTTTTTCTTCCTCATCCCCACCCCCCAGCCCAGTAAAATGTGAAGGTGTTGGGGATTGTTTTCTTTTGACCTTTAGCTCCAGGCAAGGCCACCTGTAGAGGGAATAGGACAGTCTATTGTGAACTGTGAAGTCAAGGTTTCACTGAGAGTTTCTGGGTGTGTCAGTTTTCACTGGCTGTTGGATTTGTTTACTTAAGGTTTTGAGAGCCTAAAAAACCGACTCAAGAGAGACCAGTGCCAGTAATATTAGAGTCCCAGTGAACTTCGGCTTCTCATCTGATTTTACTGTCATGAAGGTTTAATAAGTTCTGGGTACTTTGGATAATTTGACAAAAGATAGCCATAATAACTTATGGAGGCGATGATGACAACAAAGCCAGAAAGGCTTAACTTTTAAAGAGGCATTATTTTTATAATGCTTCCTCACTGAATCCCTGGAAATTTGATAGCCAGCCTGTAGGTTGTTTCACACATCATAGTTTCTCTGTAGTAATAAATGTTTTGTCGCATGAAACTAAATGATCATCTGTTGAACAGCAGACACAGGATTTTGAGCACACTGATGTTTTATGCAGTACTTGAAAATTCCTCATTTCCTTTTCCCTTGTTCCCCCAACTCAAATGCCTAAGGAAGGCTATTGGAAGTAAGCTATTGAATGGAGGCAGTTTTAGTCACAGGTATTGTGCTTTGCCTTCCATTCTCCCTTCACCTGCCCAGGTTTGCTTTGCTGAACTCAATCCCACATTTTCATTCTTGCCTCAACTTACTTCCACAACCAGATGCAGACTGTTCCTCAGGTTTCTCTGCTCTTTCGCAGTATTCTGCTCGAATGGATTTCACTCCAATAACACAGCTGCGCAAGTGGAAATGTTTGATGCTGCATCCGAAGTGCCTGGCATTACAGGGTATTGAGTAGAGTATGGGAAAAGAATCTAAAAAAGAGTGGCTATATGTATATGTATAACTGAATCACTTTGCCGTATAGCAGAAAGTAACACAACATTGTAAATCAGCTATACTCCAATAAGATAAATAAATAAAGTGGGGGAATTCCCTGGCAGTCCAGTGGTTAGAACTTGGCACTTTCACTGCCGGGGCCCAGGTTCAATCCCTGGTCGGGGAACTAAGATCCTGCAAGCTGCGTGGCACGGCAAAAAAAATAAAAATAAATTTAAAAATTAGAAAATAAAGCAAAATAAAATAAAGTGCCTGGCAGTGGAGTGGATTAGTGTTTTTTTCTTCCTTTTGGTCATTAGAAAGTAATATCGTAAAAATTATCTCCACTTGAAATAATGGAAGAGAATCTAGAATTAATCACTTGTGCTAAATGAGAATTAAAATTTGAATTCTAATTGTGGAGAACTAAGACAAGATACTCTCCATACAGCTAATAGTGGATTGTTTGGGGGTGCGGGGGTGGTATCTTACTAAACTTACTAAAGGAGCAATTACCTACTAAATTTACTCCTTCCCTACACATTGGGGTAGGTACATCCTGACATTCATAATTAAATTGTACTGCCTTTCTTGAATTTTAAAATCTTTAAGATAAGAACCCCCAGAGCAAAGGCACCTCAACAGCTGAGCCTTCAGAGTTTTAAGCAGATTTCAGTCCTTTTGTATTATCTATGAGAAAATTTGTAATTTTCTAATTTCCTGTCTCTGAATCTCCGGCACAATGGTTTCTCTGCCTTCTTAGGGATTTTTAAGGTTGTTTTTTTTCCCTCCCCTTTCTGGATATCTTGTACTTTGTAAAATAAACAGGCCATGTTTGCACACTGTTTGGATGTTAACCTGGTCCTTTGTAGTCAGTCACTCACTTAAGTTTGTACCAACGTTGTTGTATTTTAAATGTTTAAAGGCTCTTTTAATTAAAGTTGTAGATCTTTATTTTTTCTATTATGTCCTCAAACCCCAGGTTAATTGGTACTTTTTCTGAATTAAAAGAATATGGTTATTTTAATTAAATAATTTTGAAAATACTGTGAAGTATAAAGAAAATTCTGCCATCCTGAGTTACCTTTTTGGTGTATTTTCTTTAATCCTTTCCTCTTCCTACATCTTATTCTAATTCAGAAGTATGATTATAGTCCTTAGCAGTGTAAAATTCTACCTTTTTTGATTTAACATGATATAGGCTTTTTATCTCATTAAATATTTCTCAAAAACAATTTTGATATTGTTAAAAATTTTTACTGAAGTGTAATGTATATCTATACACACACAGTAAAGTACATTAAATGCACTAATTTAATTGTATGGCTTGGTGAAATTTTACACGTATAAGCCCATTTGTAACCAGCCTCTAAATCAAGATATCATACATTCCAGGGTCTAAGGTTTCCTTATGCCTCTTAGTCAGTATCCCCTAGGGGTTGGTAACTCCTCTTATTCCTATCACATCAATTAGTTTTGCCTATTCTTAAACTTCACATAAATGGAATTATGTCCTGTGTGCTTTTATGTCCACTCAACATAGTGCTATAAGATTCATTTATATTGTTGCATTGGTTGGTGTGGTACTGTTTTAATTTTTGTATTTGCTGGCAAGATAAAAGCTTTCTAATTACCCCTTTTTAAAAAGCCTGTGGCCAGGGCTTCCCTGATGGCGCAGTGGTTAAGAATCTGCCTGCCAATGCAGGAGACGTGGGTTCAAGCCCTGGCCCGGGAAGATCCCACATGCCGTGGAGCAGCTAAGCCCGTGCACCACAACTACTGAGCCTGTGCTCTAGAGCCCGTGAGCCACAACTACTGAGCCCATGTGCCACAACTACTGAAGCCCGTGCACCTAGAGCCTGTGCTCTCCAACAAGAGGAGCCACTGCAGTGAGAAGTCTGTGCACTGCAACGAAGAGTAACCCCCGCTCACCGCAACTAGAGAAAGCCCACGTGCAGCAACAAAGACCCAACTCAGCCAAAAATAAATAAATAAATAAAATTTAACAAAATAAATAAGTAAAAAGCCTATGGCCAGAATTACAATTTTTTTAAAAAACAGGTTTTCAGACAGCCTCCCTGCCATCCTTCTGTTTCCATTTGCCCATTTCTGGGTATCTTTCCTCACCCTCTCTCCACACTTGTAGGTACTCTTCTTAGTTTCTTATGATTCCTTTCAGTGTTTTATTTTGTAAAAATAAAACCAAAGAAAAATACACTTCCTGCTTTTTTATGCAGAAGTTAGTGTACTGATCATACCATTCTGTCTGCACATCCCCTTTTTACTTTGCAGTGTGTCTTTCCTTACCACTTCATAGCCTCTTTGTGGTATGGTTGTACCGTGGTTTATGTAATCAATCTTTCATTGTTGGATATATTTATTATTTAATATTATAAACAATGATAGGATTTTAAAAAAGAAAACTTTGTATAACTTGTATATATGTCGGTCTATATATATACTCCTATAGGCTAAATTTCGCGAGTATTACTGAGTCAAGGGGTATGTATATACGTACGTCTGTAACTTTGGTAGAGAGTAAGAAATTGCCCTTCAAAGGAGATGTACCAATTTATACAGCCATCAGTGTTGTGTGAAGTTCTGGTTCCACACACCTTTTCTAATAACATTCCATTGTAGAGATCTATTTGACCAATCCCTGTTGTTTCATATTAGTTTTTTTCCAATTTTTGACTGGAATAATTATGTAAAAAGTAATTTTCTTACAGTAAGTATGTGGTACTTTTTTTGAAAATGGAGAAAATTGATGTTGAAGGTAACTTA